ACTCCCCAATCGGCCCTGCTCTGAGCCCGACCAGGGGCTGCACCTAGGGATTGGGCCTGCCCTCTGCCACCCGGGAGCAGGCCTAAGCCAGCAGGTCGTTATCTCCCGAGGGGTCCCAGACTGCGAGAGGGCACAGGCCAGGCTGAGGGACCCCCCTTCCCCCCGAGTGCACAAATTTTTGTGCACTGGGCCTCTAGTCTATATATAATTGATTTCAAAGAGGAAGGGAGAGGGAGAGGGAGATAGAAACATCAATAATGAGAGAGAATCATTGATCCGCTGCCTCCTACATGCCCCCAGCTGGGATGGAGCCCCGCAATGCAACCTGGGCATGTGCCCTTGACCAGAATCGACACTGGGACCCTTCAGTCTACAGACTGATGTTCTATCCATTGAGCCAAACCGGATAAGATCCAATATTCATTCTTTTGTACATGGATATTCATTTGTTCCAGCACCATTTATTGAAAAGACTATTCTGTTCCCTTTGAATGGTCTTGACATCTTTGTTGAAAATCAGTTGACCATGGGTGTAATACTTTTTTTGTTAATCCTCACCCGAGGATATTTTTTCCATTGACTTTTAGGGAGTAGAAGGGAGGGAGGGAGGGAGGGGAGGAGGAAGGTAAATGGAGAGAGTAGGAGGGGGAGAAGAGAGAAACATTGATGTGAAAGAGACACATAGATTGCTTACCTCCCACACCACCCCAACCAGGGCTGGGGATCGCACAAACTTGCAACCCAGGTATGTGTCCTTGACTGGGAATCAAACCCATGACCCATCAGTGTGTGAGGCAGTCTCTAACCACTGAACACATTGGCCAGGGCTAATACTTTTTATATATCGTTTGTTAGTATTTTGTTGAAGATTTTTTTATATCTCTTCTCATACAATATATCAATATATTGGTCTGTAATTGCTTTTTTATATATCTTTGGTATCAGGGTAATATAGGCCTCTTAGAATAAGTAGGGAAGAGTTCCCTCCTCTTCTATTTTTGTAAGAGTTTGAGAAGGATTGCCATTCATTTTTTTTAAAACATTCAGTAGAGTTTATCAGTGAAAATGTCTTGTGCTGGGCTTTTCTTTGTGAGAAGTTTTTATACTAACTCAATCTCTTCGTTATAGGACTAGTCAGAGTTTCTATTTACTTTTTTAAAAAATGTATTCTCACTATTTAAATTTTTTTAATTGATTTCAGATAGGAAGGAAGAGGGAGAGATAGAAATATCAATGATGAGAGAGAATCATTGATCAGCTGCCTCATGCACACTCCCTACTGGCGATCAAGCCAACAACCCAGGCATGTGCCCTTGACCAGAATAGAACCTGGGACTCTTCAGTCCATAGGCCGACACCCTACCCACTGAGTCAAACTGGCTAGGGCTCTATTTACCTTTGAGTCCATTTTGGTACTTTGTCTTTCTGTGAATGTGTCCATTTCTGTTAGGTTACCTAATTTGTTAGTCTACAGTGGTTTATAGTATTTCCTTATAATCCCTTTTATTTCTGTAAGATTTGTAGTAATGTCCCCTTTCATTATTGATTTTAATCATTTGTCTTCCCTCTTATTGGTTAGTCTAGCTAAAGTTTTGTTAATTTTCTTGATCTTTTCAAATAACTTTTTTTTCTTTTAATTTTTATTTATTGATTTGAGAGAGAGAGAGAGGAAGGGGGAGAGAGAGAGAAAAAAACAACAACATCAGTGTGGGAGAGGACATCCATCTCTAGAGAGTGGAGCAGGAGGGAGAGAGAGAGATGACCACTTTGTTCTACTTACCTATGCATTCATTGGTCAATTCTCTTTTTTTATATACTTTTTAAAATATGTTTTTATTGATTTCAGAGAAAGGAAGGGAGAGGGAGAGATAGAAACATCAGTGATGAGAGAGAATCATTGATTGGCTGCCTCCTGCATGCCCCACACTGGGGATCAAGCCGGCAACCGGGCATGTGTCCTGACCAGAATTGAACTGTGATCTCCTGGTTCTTAGGTCAACACTCAACCACTGAGCCACACCAGCCAGGCTTCTTTTACATTTTTTTATTGTAGTAAATATAAATAACAACACAAAATGTAGCATTTTAACCATTTTTGGTGTACAATCTAGTAACACCAAGTACATTTATACTGTTGTGCAACCCCCTTCTTTTCTTTTTGACTCTCTTGGCTCCAGCCATCGAACTATTTTTTGTGCTCATACATTCATTCAACAACAAACCATTGTGTTTACTCGGTACCAGGCACTGTGTGAGGCACTGGAGGTACATCAAAGAACAAAATAGACAGATATTTCTAGCCCTATGTGATAGATCCTCCCTTCCCCCAACTGGTGAGCGGAGTATGACGTAACCTGCAGCCCGGAAATACCTGAGTTACTAACCATGTACCTCATATGGACAATACATTGAACCACCGACCAATACCTGCCAAATACCCTAAGCCCTTGTTCCTATATGGACCATACATGAAGCCACCAATGAGCATACGCCGAGTACACTAAGCCCCATTCCTTTCCTCAAAGGCATGCTCGCCTCTGCACGTGCTGCTGTTCTCCCATTGCCAGGCAGCCCGGCAGGTCT